GATGGTTAAAACTCCCCTTTTGGACCCAGACCCAGGTTCCATTGATGGTTCCCCGTGAGACTTCGGGCAAGTTCTTTAGCCTCTCTGAGCCAGTTTCCTCATTAGCAAAACAGCAATAATTCAAATCCCTACCTCCCACGACGGTGGACAGGATGAAATGAGCAGCACAGACCCTGGCCCATGGCAGGTGCTCGATATGTGTTTGCTGGTGTCCTGGCAGGAGCATATCCCTAGGAGTTCCCTAACAGGGTCACCAGGCCAGGCCACATCCCCCCTACACTTCCTACTGGCCTCTAGCCCTCCAAGTCCAGTTTGGTCCAGACACCCAGGTTAGGAACTGCTAGGGGGTGGGGGTCTTCCTTAGAAGGAATCCAAAATCTTACTATCTACAGCCTCCCCTCCCACCCCAGGACCTTTGCACATGCTGTTCCTACTGCCTGGGGCACACTTTCCTTCCCATCCCCTTCATCTGATTACTTCCTAGTTGGATCTCAGCCTAAAGGTCACCTATGCCAGGGCAAATATCCCTGCACCCCACCAGGGTAGGCACCCCTGCCTCATACTCTCACGGTCCTGGACTTTTTTCTCTCTACTTTTATCACAGTCTAGAGTGATATCTGTCCCTGCCGCTAGACCAAGAGGCCGTGTTGGTCTTGTTCAATGTTGTGTGCTTGGTACAAAGGAGGCGCTCAAACTGTAATAGTCAGCAAAAACCAGAAGCCTCAGTTTCAAATTGCCTGGTTCAATCCCCCGTCTGTTATACGTAAGGGATGCTGAGGCCCAAAGAAGGTTAAGGGGCCTGCCCACACAGCACAGCAGCTCTCCCACCCAAGCCTGCTCTCTTCCCAAGGCACCCAAGGAATTGCCCACCCTCCTCTGCCCCTCGGCCCCCCAGGGCTATACCTGCCACCTCCCCGGGTTAACGGTGAGCCAGCTCAGAGAGGAAGCACCGGGCTGAAGCACGTTTAATTTTAATTTAGGAATCGGTTAAGACTGCGGGCCTGCTCAGCTCTGGGTTGTCAATCAGCCTTCCTCAAGGCTGCATCAATTAGTTTAAAAATATTGAATGTAATTTTGCCTGACACAACATATTGCAGCTACTGCAAAATATAATTTATTTTAGAAGAAGAAATAATTAAACTAATTTGCATGTCAGTCAGCTGAACTGAAATGCCAAGGGAGGGGCGTGGGACCCATGGGGGATCCAGCCCCTGGACACAGCACCTGCCACTGGGCATTGGGTGAGGTCAGCCTGGGCCTCGGTCTGAGCAGTATCTGCGTCTGGATGGACAAATATTCAGGCAGCAGGAGGGCCCACTGGCATTGCATCTAGACCACGCACTGGACTTAAGAGTTGGGAGACCTAGGACCCAACCTCAGTTCTGCCACTGACTTGCCTGTGGCTTTAGACAAAGTCTTGCCCCTTTCTGGGCCTCAGTTTCTCCATCTACAAAATGGGTTTAGGTAATTCCCTGGCAGTCCAGTGGTTAGGACTCTGTGCTTTCACTGCCGGGGCCTGGGTTCGATCCCTGGTCGGGGAACTAAGATCCTGCAAGCTGTGTGGCATGGCCAAAAATTAAATTAAAAAAAAAAATGGTTTTAACAAGACCTCCTTTATGGGTTGTTTCGAGGATCCAATGATGTCATAGATAAGAAAGTTTGTTATAAACTGGAAAATCCTGCACAAAGAGGAATGTTAATTAATTGATGGATTTCTTATTTTATACTAGAAACATTGAAGTTGGTAAAAATTATGCATTATTATCAATTATTACAAATGATGCTAACTGTGATCGGGAGGGGTTTGGAGGAAGCCAATCAGAGGCGAGATGCCCGGTTGGACCTCCCCCAGCACCTGCCAGTCACCCCTAGGCAGTAGTTTGCAACACTTGCTGTTGATACATATTAGATTCACCTGGAGCTGTTAAACAAACCGTCAACGGGCTTTCCTGGTGGCGCAGTGGTTGAGAGTCCGCCTGCCGATGCAGGGGACACGGGTTGCCTGCGCGTCCGGAGCCTGTTCTCCGCAACGGGAGGGGCCACAACAGTGAGAGGCCCGCGAACCGCCAAAAAAAAACCAAAACACATCAATGACCAAGCCTTGGGCTTAGAACATTTTAAAGGCTTCCCAGGTGATTCTAATAGCCAAGCTGAAGACTGCCACGGTGTCAAGGGTACGGGATGCTGACTTAGGGCTGGACCACAAGCTCTGGGGGGGTCCAGACCAGCCCCCAATTCAGTGGTCTCTGGGATAAGCTCTGTAGGTGGCAACTTTGGCGACATAGAGGCACACCTCTCGGCTGCCCTACCTCTCAGATCTGCCAAATCCTCATGCCAAAAAGGATTCAGGGCCTTCCCAAGAGGTGATCCATGACATTTGAAAGGAGGAGATAGGACAACAACAAGACGGTAAGGTAAGGATGTTCTAACTAATCTTATTGTGACAAACATTGCAATATCTACATTTATTTTACACCTTAAACTTACACAGTGTTATATATCAATTACATCTCAATAAAGCTGGGGGGAAAAAAGAGGTAGGAGAGGCCCAGCAGAACCCAGAGGAATGCTACAATAATGGGGGTCTCACCAGCAGTGGACCCAACCCTCCAGCAGAGTGTCTGCCCACTGCGGATCTTATCCTACTCTGAGGTCCCCCTTCTGCATGGCCCCATAGGACCCTGTCTCTCCCTCCAGCCCTGCACACCCCACCCGCTGCAGGGGAGGGGGCCCAGGCCACCCCCTACCCTCCTTCTGCCTCAGTGGGGAGAGAGGTGCCTGATCCTGACAGTGGACCTCAACCTCCCCTCCTAAGCACCCACCGGCTGGCTGTTTAAGTTCTCTGGCAAAACACTCTTAAAAATAACAGCTCACCCGACATTCCCAGTCACGACTCCCATCTCCCACCCCCAGAAAATCCCCCACTAATCGCAGAAGCAGCAGATCTGGGTGAGCTGAGAAGATAAGGCGCCCCTGCCTAAGGGGAGCTCCAGAGGGGAGTCGGGGGCTGAGTTAATTAAGGACTCCCCCCCTCCCCCCGCTTCCTTTCCCTGACCCCTGCAGGAGGTGGCTGCACCTGCCTCCCAATCTCCATTTCTCTTTTTATCAACACAGGAGCAGCTGCAGTCGGCATCCAGTGGGGCCCTGAGTCCAGAGAAGGAAGCAGCCGCCCAGCCCCGACTTGCCCCCAAAACTCATGGGATTCCTGGCTGCCTGGAAGCTTCCAGACTGCCCCCAAAATAGCTCCCTGTCAGCCGGGTCAGAGACCCAGCCATCAGGTCACTGCTTGGAAGCGGGTAGTTTCCTCTCCCAGGGGATGTCCTTGATTTCACTGGCGGGTAGAACATGTCAGTAATGAACTCATGGCTAGGATAGCCAAGGACAGGGCACCAATGAACACTCAGGGGTCTGGGTGGGGGGCTATAAAGGGCCAGCATTCAGGGTGCTTCTCGGATGAGGTATCCCAACAGCCTAGAGTCACTGAATGTCATTCAAGGATATCTGTTGATTTAACAAATCCTTATGTAACACTTATGTGCTATGTACACAGTTTTAAGTGCTTTGCACCTATTAACTCAATTTGTCCTCTTAACCAACCTGTTACTAGTAGCCCCATTTTGTAGGTAAGAAAACTGAGGCAAAGAGAGCTCAAGTGACCTGGCATGGATCACACAGCTAATAAGTGACAGAGTTGAGATTGGAACCACTTGGCTCCCAAGTCCTTGCTCTTAATCTCTATGCGCTGTTCATTTTCCAGGTGTGGAAACTGATACCAGAGCGGGAAAAGTTTTACTCAAGGTCAAACACTGTGTCAGAGACAGAGCCATGCCTGAAATTCAAGACTCTTTCTGTCTAAATGTTTCCAGGCTTCATTCATTCATTCAACAAATCTATTAGAACCAGCTCTATGCCACATCCCACAATGCTGGAGACCCAGGGATTAATACAACAGAGGCCTTGACCTCAAAGACATTGCAGTTGGAGGAGTGGGGACTTTGTGGCTTTGCTGAGGACCTTGGCAAAGACCCACCTCCAGTGGACTTGTCTTGCCCTCTCATGATCAGGTCTTAAAAGAGCAGAGACAGCTTTAGTTGTCAGCTGATCAATTCTTTAAACTTTAGCATGTTTTTTAGTATCCCTTATGCAATATGGGGATAGAAATTGTACCAAACCGTAGGATTTCTGCAAGGATACCTGAAATAATGGATATGGATGCTCCAGGAGAAATCTGTGCCCTCCACGGTGATGGAATGGAGATGGCAGTGTTGATGGCAGTGCTGTTGGAGGCGGGAGGGGGGTGGTGATGTGACAGTGATGGGGGTGATGATGGCGGGGGTCATGGTAGTACTGGTGGGGCTGATAATGGAAGCTGTGGTGGAGATGGTGGAGACAGTGAATGACTGGTGGTGATGGTGGTAATATTGATGATGGTGGCCGCAGGGGGGTGATGATGGTAGAGCTGAGGAAGGTGGTATTAGTCAGTGCAGTGGTGGTGGCGGCCGCGGTAATTCTAATGGTGATGGTGACGATAAAGGAGTGGTGATGGCACTGGTGATGGTGATGGTGGTGAGGACGGTGGCGGTGGTGCTGATAGTTCCGTCGGTAGAGGTGGCAGTAGTAACGCTAATGGTGGTGATGGTTTAATGGTAGTAGTGGTACTAGTAATGGTGATGGTGAAGGTAGTAATGGTGGAGATGGTGACGGTGTTGGTGATGGTGATGGAGGTTGTGGTGATGATACCAGTGGTACCAGTGCTAATTAATGGCAGTGGTGGTGGTGGCAACAGTGACAGTAATGGCGATGGTTACAGCGGTGATCTAGTGGCGGTGATGACCCAGTTAGCCAGACATCCTTGGTCCTGGTCCTAGTATGAGCTTGATCAACCCACAGATCTCTCAGTGTGACCTCACTGCCTACTCTTGTCCTAGCAGTAGATGGGAGGGGGGCGTCTAAATCTCACACTTGATGCCTCCCACCCTACGGCTGTGCTCTTGTTACAGACAATCATGCCCAGCTATCCCGGGCATCCCTAAGGATCCGAATCCTGGATGTGAACGACAATCCCCCAGAGCTGGCCACACCCTACGAGGCAGACGTGTGTGAGGATGCCGAGCCAGGCCAGGTAGCACTGAAGGATTGGGGACTGGGGGTCGCTGTCAGGACTGGCCAGGACACCCTCTACTCAAGCCCAGAGTGGGCTTGGCCTCACCTCAGCTCCCTGCCCCCTCCTCACCCTTCAGCTCATCCAGACCATCAGTGTGGTAGACAGAGACGAGCCCCAGAGCGGGCACCGCTTCTACTTCCGCCTGGTGCCTGAAGCTCCCAGCAGCCCTCATTTCTCTCTGCTCAACATCCAAGGTGAGTTATCTCAGAACAACCAAATCCTAGGATCCATGGAGGGAGGGGCTTAGCCTCCCCAACCCCTTCCCATATTACAGAGGCGCCCAGAGGGCCAGTGGTGGGTCCAAGATCACACGGAAGGTCTGAGCCAAGCTGGAGATGTTACCCAGCCTGCGAGCCAGACCCTGAAGAACAAGCAGGAGGTGGGTTGGCTGAGTGGAGGAGGGCTTCCCAAGGATAGAGAATGGTAGATGGAAAGATATAGAGAGGGAATACATGAGGAGTGGGGCAGTGGCCCAGCATCCAGGGTGGAAAGAGCCCCTGATCTAAGTGAAGACTGGAATAAGCCACACGCACACACTCCCACCTCTCCGTTTACAAAGTGCTTTATCCCACTCGCATTTCCTCTTTACATCCTCACGGTCACCTTGGGAGGTGGTTTTCTTACCCCTCCCCTCATTGTGCAGGTGATGAGACTCTAAGAGGATAAGGGACCTACCCAGGGTCATATAGGGAGTCAGTGGTGAGGCTGGGACTCAAACCCACGCCTATCTCAGTTCCAATGTCCTTCCTGCTTGCTACCTTGAAAGCAAACTGCCCCTCCCATCCTGAGCTGATCCCATTGTGAGACCCACCCCTGCAAGTTCCCCTTCAGTGAGAAGTTGAGGTCTGAACCTTTGAGGAGTAGACCGGGGGACGGGGTGGTCAATGGACTGGGAGTGAGGGACCTGGGTCCCAGCCCAGGCTCAGTTGAAGGCTTTCTATGCAACCCTAATGCCTGCCTCAGTTTCATCAGCTGTAAAATGGGGCTGAAGATGCCGGCCAGGCAGCTAGGTGGTCCCAGTGAGACGTGGGTTACAGAGGTATATTGTCAGTACCTAGAACACGGCATTTCCTTCATTCAGCAATTATTTGTTGACCATTTATTGAAATACAGTCCCTACATGTCAGGCACTGTTCTAGGTCCCGAAAATGCAGCGGCATGCAAGACAAAATCCCTGCCTTCATGGAGTTTATATTCTAGAGAGGGGAAACAGAAATTAAACAAATGAATATTATGATGGGATTGATAAGTGGCTGGCAGGGAGGAATAATGCAATCTTCACGAGTCTGGACTTTGTTCTATTCAGTGCTGGACCCTGGGTGCCTGGCACATAGTAGGTATTCAAAAGTATGTGTTAGGGAATTCCCTGGCAGTCCACTAGTTAGGACTCCAAGCTTCCACTGCAGGGGGCACGGGTTTGATCCCTGATCGGGGACCTAAGATCCCGCAAGCCACGCGGCGTGGCCAGAGAAAAACATATAAACAAAAACGTGTTAGACAAAACAGGAGGAAATAAAGCAAGGCAAGAGTAGAAGCTGTTTTAAATAAGGTGATCTAGGAAGGCCTCTCTGAAGGAATCAATAGTGAGTAGGGATCTAAAGGAAGTGAGGGGGTGAATGATCCAAGTGCAAGAAACAGCAAGTGCAAAGACCCTGAGGTGGGAACAGGCTTGGGACGTTCAAGACCTGCATAGTTGGGGTGAGTGAGTGACAGGACTGGAGGAGATGCAGTCAGAGAGGTACTAGGGGCTAGATCATGTGGGTTCCTTCTGATCCTGTTCCAGGTCTGGTATCACCCCCAAGACCTTGACACCCCTTCCCTCAGTGGCTTCTGAAGCCAGACCCATCTGTATTTCCAGGAGTAATATTAAAAATATTTAACAACCAGTGCAGCTCAGATAATCAATCAGAAAGGACCCTGATCATAAATAATCTGGAGTAGGACCATGGAGCCTCTGCTGAGCCAGGCTTGAACCCCTTAGTGACTTGATCGTGTTAAAGTTGGGGGTGTGCTTGAGGGAGAGGCTGAGGCAGCAGGGAAGGACTTGGGGGACTCAGAGTCATGGCTATTTAAACCTTTCTAGAAGTAGTTCAGTATTTTAACAACCTTAACGACTAGTGCTGCCCTGATTGCTCACTATGGCAGTGGTACCCCAAGCTGAGCGCCGGAGACACAAATAGCCCTGGACTGACCTCACCAAGTTCACAATCTTTCCAACCCAAGGGGCCTGAGGTTCTGCCCCAACTGCCTCTCTTTGACAGGGGGTGGGGGCTGGGGGCTTGGTTGGCCACCAGGGCTCCCATCCGGCGTGACCAGCTGCGTACAAGCCCTGGGAGCAAGGCCGGCAGCAGCGCGCTGAGGCCGGCACTGCCAGGAAAGGGCTCCTCCTCCAGTCCCCCGGCCCCTCCCACGGTGTGCCAAGCCCCCTCCTCCTCACCATATAAATATCCCAGTTGACAAACGGCTACCCCAACCCATCTGTTTCTTTGTACAAATTTGTAGCCAGTTTGGAAACGTGATTTATAAATATTGCTTTTGCAGCCAGGATTGACACTGATGTATGTCAGGCCAGATGGATGAATGCAGTGCTGGGCGCAGATCCTGCCTAGAAGGGTGGGGTTGGGGCCTGGGGTGGCCACTGGCTTCCCCAAATGAAGCCAGCTGCTGCCCAGGAGGGCAGCTGAGAGGGAAAGGCATGATGCTCAGGGATTTCCTCTTATGGGGTGAAAGAGTAGCAGGAACCAGAGCTCTCCAGACATATGGTTCCATGACCAAAGACAGCAACCCCGAGAAACAAATATGTCCTCTCCTCTCCTCTGTTCTTGCTTGGGAATTAGAGGCTGAGTCAGAGCCATCCACTCATTTTTCAAATCTGTCCACTTCTCTGTGCCTCCACTACCACTCTTATTTCACATCTAGAACACACAGTAGCTTCCTAACTGGTCTTCCACATCCACTGTTGTATTTTAGATTAGAGGCTCCCTTGCTTAGAAGGTAGGCTTAGCAAAGGCAGGGACCATGTCTGTCTTGTTCATTGCTGTATCCTCAGGGCCTAGAGTAATCCTGACCTATAGAGGGTGTTTAATTAGTATTCACTATTGAATAGATGGATGGTATGTCACTAGGTTGCTTCTTTGCCCATCAATCGATGGTCTCCTGTTGCCTTTAAGAAAATAACCCAATTCCTTACCATGGCCTCTAAGACTTTCTATTATGAGCCCCTGCCTCCCCCTCCAGCCTCTTCTTGACTCGCTCTAGTCATCATCCTTATCCCTCCAGCCGCAAAGGACTGCTCTCAGTTCCCTGAGTTCCTATGCCTCTTCTAACCTCAGGACCTTTGCACGGACTATTCCCTCCCCTAGAATTCATTGTTCAGGGCTCACAATAATATCATTTCTTCCAAAAAGTTCTCCAGGATCCCCCAGACTGGTCAGATCCTCTGTTAGATGCTCTTCCTATACTTTTCCTTCTTAGCACTCACCATCGTTTGCAATTGTACACTAAATTGTGAGTTTATTTGGTTAACCTTTGTCTCTCGCATCAGAATATAAGGCCAGATCCAGGACTATGGTTAATTTAGCTCCCCATTATCCCCCCCATGGCCAGCATGGTGCCGAGTACAGAGTAGTTACTCAATAAAGATTTATTGGATGGATGGATGATCCGATGGGTGGTTGGAAAAGGTAGCTATGCCACCAATTCACGGGATAAATTCAGACAAGTCCCTTCTCTCTGAGCCTCAACTTCCATGTCTGTAAAATGGGAATAGTGTTACAACTCTTGGTGGTTGTGAAGATTAAACATTTCTATGTATTTAAAGTATCTACCCAGTCCTCGATACATAAGAAGTATGCAGCCAATGCAAAGGAGTCCCACACCATTCCTTCTTTTCCTCATCTTGCCCTTGAGCCTTTCTTTCCCAGGGGAAGGCAGATGTTGTCACAGCTGGAGTTGACTCACCCTTTGGCAGGAGGGCTAGAGTTCAAGCCGGAGCTTGAGGAGCTGACCCAGGACCACCAGTTACCCTAAAAGATGTGGTTCGTTCAAGCATCATTCTTCAAGGCTGGCTCAGTGCCAGGGAAGAGACAGGCACACGCTACCTTAACACAGCATGACAAGTGCTGTAACAGAAGTGTGCGTGGCGCCTGCACAGTCAGAGCAGGGAGGGGGAAGCCATAAATCCTTCCTTCCCAGGGAAGCGTAGAAAGGAGGCCACAGAAAAGAGGTGACATTTAGCTGGAGCATGACGGATGAGGAATTCGCCCAGGCAAGAAAGTGGAGAGGGTGTTCCAGCTAGCAGGAACTTAGTGAAAAAAGGCAGGGCAGCCTAGACAGAGCGCGGGCGTGGGGTGTAGCACGTGGGGGTGGGGCATGAAAAAATTAACAACCAGCATTCATGGAGCATTTCTACGTGTTAGGAACTGTTCTAAGGGTTATGTGCTAATTACACTCTTTAATCCTCACACCTATGTGATGCTATTTTCCTCCACTTCGGATGAGGAAACTGAGATCCAGGGAAGCTAAATGAGTTTCCCAAGCTAGTAAATGACCAACTCAGCATTAGTTATTAACATTTTTTTTTTTTTTTAGTTATTAACATTTTAATGGAAATTTTCAAAGATGTATACAAGTAGATAAAATAACACAATGAACTCCTATGTGCCCATCACATGAGCTTTAACCCATGACCGGTCTTGTTTCAGCTGGACCTCCAGTCCACTTCACAGGTGTGCCCAAGGTCACAAGTCGGCCCTTCCAAGGGCTCTTCTTCCTGCATTGTGTGCATGATGGGGAAGGCCAGGCAGGCGCACTGAACTGGGGGCTGCGGGGAAGAGGCTGAGTTAACTGGGACCGCAAAGCTGGGGAAGGGACCCAGGCTGTCAAAATCTGAGGTCAGGGAGACCAGCCTGAAGCCTGCGAGGGCAGAGAGAAGGACTCAGGAGGGAGGCCTGGGCCGCCAGCGGGAAGCGGGACCCCTTTTGTGGAACTGGCTGTCAAGGATGGGAGCAGCAGGGAGCTGGGCTCTGAGTACTTCTCGACTACCGCATTGGCAGCCACCAGAATGACAGAGGGTCAGTGATGGCCTGGCCCATGCAGGAGAGGTGTGGAGGAGTCACCGGGGCGGGGGAGCCCGTGCTCTACACCCACCCCCCAAGTCCTGACTGGCACTCCCAGCACGAGGCCGAAGCAGTGCGACGAGTATGACTCATGTGAGTTCACTGTTCCCTCTGGCCATTATGCATCAAAAGGAAAGAGACCGGTGAGGTGACCTTGGTACCCTGGGGCATCCCCATCAGGCCCCAAGGGGCATGCCCCCGGCCCTCCAGGCTCAGCTCTTAAAGAGACTCCTGACAGAACGATGCCTCAGCCAAAGGCAGGTGCCAGCCCGTGTTCCCAGTCTTCTCTGATGACCCAGAGCTTGTCAGTGCCCAGGAAGCCACAACCCAAGGACCACAGGACCCCAGGATCAGGATGCATTGGACAGCTGGGGTGGAATCTGAGAGAAAAAAAGGCTGTTGAGACAAAAGGCAAAAAAAAATTTTTTGATATAGCCAGGGACAGGACCTTGGCACCACTGGGGACAAAATCTTGGAATAGCTGAAAACAGAATTTTGAGACAGCTGGGAATAGAAGCTTAGGACAGCTAAGGACAGAATTGAGGGCTCTACGGCTGGGGACGGGACCTTCAGGCAGCTGGGGGCAGAATTTGGGGAGAGTCGGTAACAGAATTTTAGGAGATCAGGGAATAGACCCATGGGTCAGCTGGGAGACAGTAGCTGGGGGCAGAGTGAGGCAAATCCCGAGGTGGAATTGGGAGGTGACTGGGACGGGGGAGGCCGAACCCAAGTCACATACCACTCCGTTTCTTCGAAGCAGACAATACAGCCGCGGTGCACACGCAGCACATGGGCTTCAACCGGCAGGAGCAGGACGTGTTCTTCCTGCCCATCCTGGTGGTGGACAGTGGGCCGCCCACGCTGAGCAGCACGGGGACGCTCACCATCCGCATCTGTGGCTGCGACAGCTCCGGCGCCATCCAGTCCTGCAACACCACGGCCTTTGTCGTAGCCACGTCCCTCAGCCCCGGAGCCCTCATCGCCCTCTTGGTCTGTGTCCTCATCCTGGTCGGTAAGTCCACCAAGAGCCAGCCCCCCCGCCCGACTGGCCCCCATCCTTGGGCCCTGGATGTCCTTCCTGAGGTGCCTCCATGGGGGTCTCACTTTCCCTCCCCATCCTAGGAAGGGCTGGCTTGATTGATGTCCAGGTTCTAACCTGCAGCTCCTACGAGAAGTCTCCTAAGTACGGAGCAGCCCTACCACCAACTCCAGAAGGTGTCAGCCCCCAGCTGAGACTAAGTTCATGCTGGCCAACCCTCTACATGGCCCAAAGTCTCTCTAATTTTGAAAAACCAAGCCTATTTTTTAAAATTCTCTCATGTCTATTGTCCTATTTTATTCTTTATGTAGTACTTTTAGTAAAAAAAGGGCTCTTGTGAACCTCACAACCTCTCAGCCAGATGTATCATCCCCATTTTTGAGATGACAAAACTGAGGCTCAGAGTCATTAAGTGGCTTGCAAAAGGGGACCCAGTTAATCTTCTGACTTGAAATCAGGTCTTTTCACCCTGTGTTCCCTGCTCCTTTAACTACCCCACCTGCTAGGAATCTAAACTGGGGGCAAAACTTTGGGGCAGCTGGAGTAAAATCTTAAGACACTTGGGGAGGGGGCAAAATCTACTTGGGTATCAGTTCCACCAGCAGCCAGTTGAACCCCCCAGAGTGCCCCCAGGGAAGAGGTCAATTTTTCAGGAGCTAAACTGGATTCAGGTGGCCACAATGCCGCCTCTCACTGTTAAAGCAGAAAGGCCTCACCTCTGTCCTGACTACTGGACGACAGCCAGAGCTGGAGGAACTCAAGGAAGGGCCAGATGGCAGGTCCCAGGTTTGCTCAGTTCCCTGGGAGATTCAGCTGCCTCCCACGCCTCACCACCCACCCCTGGGACCTGCAGAGGTCCTGGGCAGGCCCCTCCTAGCTGGGAGGCCCCCCCTCCTCTCCACTCCCCAGCCCGTGGCTCAGAAACCCTTTTTCCAGAGGATGCACTTTACAGCGGTTTCATTTTCCGAGGCAGTGCAAACAAATTTCTGCCTAATTGCCCACAAACGAAGAAAGTGCACATCAGTGCTCTAAAGGTGACGGGCGGAATCACTGATCAGGCCTGGCACATCTGTCTCCTGCCGCCCGCGCTTCCCACCATCTGCTCTCACGGGCATCCCCCTCCGCAGCTCCCGGCCTCCAGCTTCAGAAGCCGACCATCCATCTTTCCCACTTCTCTCCTGACACCTTTCCTCCCTCCCAACCTGTCCCTGGATCCCACCTCCTTCCCGGTCATGATCCACCTTGTTAGGTCGTGAGCCAGCACCCTGCCCCATGGCCCTCGCAGCTGGTTCTGCCCACTGGCCTGGCCTGAGCTGTTTGGAGCTGCAAGAAGAATCCAGTGCCTGAGAGGATACCCAACACATGTCTGTCCATCCATCCACCCACCTATCCATTTAATTCTCTCATTTGCTCATCGGTTCCTAATTTATCCATCCAGTGAGTACCCCCACCCATGTGCTAAATTATTCTAGGCACTGGGATTCATCAGTGAATGAAAGATACAAAAAGCCCTGAATAACTGGAAAGTTGGGGTTGCCATCGCTGAGACTGGGAGACTGAGGGTGGGAAGGGGGAAAGATTATTCTTTCAAATTTGGACACATTAAGTTTGAGATTCTCCTGGTCAACCCCGAGGACTTGCTAGAGAGGAAACTGGATGTACAATCTAGATTTCAGGGGAGAAGTCCAGGCTGGAGGCTGCAATATGGGAGTTGTCAGCCTCTAAATGGAATTTAAAGCCACGAGACAAGGAAAGCGACAAGAGAAGGGGTGTGGAAAAAAGACCAAGGACTGAGTCCTGGGACATCTGATGTTAAGAAGTCAGAGAGGAAAGGAGAAGAGAAGCTTGCTTATAAGGTTGAGAACGAGTTATCAGTGAGGTGGGAGGAGGAAGAGTATGCAGAGTCCTGGAAGGCAAGTGAAGAAAGCCAAAAAAATCTGCTCATCCTTGCATCACCCAGGTCTCCATCCAATTCTTCATTCAGTCATTCATTCAACAAGCATGGTTCTCTTGCTTACTGCATGCCAGGCACCACTCTAGGGGAACGTTCCCCAGGTCCCGGAGGGCAGTTCACAGTGTGTATTTTGAGGCGGGGTGAGACTGACATCTTAACATGGCAGGGCCTGTGCTATGAATGAGCAGTGACTTTCAAACCTGAGCTGCCTGGGCATTACCTGCAGGCCTTATTGAAACAGACTGCTGGGCCCCACCCAGTAGATCTAGGACAGGACCTGAGAATTTGCATTTCTAATAAGTTCCCACGAGATGCTGATGCTGGTCCAGGGTCCGAACCAGGGTGATAGAGAGGAACCCCTCATCAGGGGAGCTTGGAGGTGATATCCTGAACCCGGCCTTGAGCTCTCAGGGAAGGGCTCCTGCAGGAGATATCTGGACCAGAGACCCAGAGGGCGAATAGGGTGATCAGGGCTTCTGGAGTGGACAGAGGAGGGCAAGGGTGAAAGAGAGGTCAGGGTCAAGGACATTTCACTCCCCCCAGACCTCAGCTGCCCCATTCCCATCGCCACCCCCCAGCACCCAGAGACCTCAGGAGGATGTATCTCTTCATAGAGTTAAGGATGGAGACCTCAGAGTTTGGGTCCAGCCCTCAACACCCATGAAACCTCTTAACACTGCTCTCTGTCCCCACCCCACCCCCAGTGGTGGCATAGGCTTGATTTGCACACCTCCCAAGATGGGCAGCTCACTACCTATCCAGATAGCCAGCTACGGTCTAACTGTGAGAAAGGTATTGTTGCACAGAAATCTAGGAAATTTGCATGAGCATTTAGGCTGAGCCAGCTCTGCAGGGGAGGAGGGAAAGGGTGGTCCCCGGACTGCCCTGGGGGGGCGCTGCCCTCACGCGCCCCCTTCTGTCTCCCGCGCAGTGCTGGTGCTGCTGATACTCACCCTCAGGCGCCACCACAAGAGCCACCTGAGCTCGGACGAGGACGAGGACATGCGGGACAACGTCATCAAATACAACGACGAGGGGGGCGGCGAGCAGGACACCGAAGCCTACGACATGTCGGCACTGCGAAGCCTCTACGACTTCGGCGAGCTCAAGGGCGGCGGCGACGGCGGCGGCGGCGGCGGCGGCGGCGTGGGCCCGGGCGTGGGCCCGGGCGTGGGCCCGGGGAGCCCCCCGCAGGCCCGTCTGCCTTCGGAGCACCACTCGCTGCCGCAGGGGCCGCCGAGCCCCGAGCCGGACTTCTCGGTGTTCAGGGACTTCATCAGCCGCAAGGTGGCGCTGGCGGACGGGGACCTGTCGGTGCCGCCCTACGACGCCTTCCAGACCTACGCCTTCGAGGGCGCGGACTCGCCAGCCGCCTCGCTCAGCTCGCTGCACAGCGGCTCGTCGGGCTCCGAGCAGGACTTTGCCTATCTCAGCAGCTGGGGTCCCCGCTTCCGGCCCCTGGCCGCCCTCTACGCCGGCCACCGCCCAGAAGGCGAGGCCCCGGCCTCCTAGCCCGCCCTCCCTGCAGCCCAGGACCCGACTGGACCCCAGGACAAAGCACGTCCCCTGCTCACCCCCTTCCCCCAACCCTCCCAGGGCGGCGAGACAGGAGGGGGACCTTGTTCGGGCAGCGGACTCCCCGACGGCATCCCTCCCCTGGGGGGGCGGGGGGGCGGGGGGGGTTGGGCAGCTTTTGCCCAGAAGTGCGGGAATTATGACCAACATCATTAAAACTGCAGCGAGAACGGGCACTGCGTGGCTCTGGGGTTAGACAGGGAGAGAGGGTGGTGTGGATCCCTCCTGGCTTAGGGGAGAAGCTGGGGGGAGGATGCTGCAGAAGTGCCAGCCCAGGAATGCCCCATCAGAGTTAAGAGGAAAGAAGGGCTGTTCATTTACTAAGCGCCTACTGTGTGCTGGGCCTGTACAAAGACCACCTTAGTCATCACACAAACCTTGAGGTGGGGCCCTGCAGGTAACAGTTGGAGAAAGAAAGCCCCCCGGAGAAGTGGCTGGGACCTGTCCAAGGACACCTTGCCAGTGTACCGTGGAGCCACAGCACTTACCGGCTACCTGGCCTTGGGCAAGTTACCTCTCTTCTCTGGGCCTCAGTTTCCTCCTGTGTCAAACGAGGCAAATAGCAGAACCTACCTCAAAGAGTCTTGAGGATAAAAAGGCTTCATATGTGTCAAGTGGTTAGGACAGTGCCTGGCACATAGTAGGTGCTCAATAAATGTTAGCCTTTGATACTGTTATTATCTTTGTTGTTATTAGAAGCCCAGCATGTCTGCCTCCCAGATCTGAGCTCTCTCCCCCTTTTCCCAACATCTCCAAGGATATAGAAAACCTGACTATTGGTGTTGCTTCTGCTCTGAGTCGGGGATAGGGACGTTCCCAGAAATTGGAGAGCCTTCCGGTGTCTCAGGCGACACTGGAATACGACACCTGGCAGGCGTGCCAAGAGATGACAAGGTGGGCAGCTCCAGGACTTGGATGAAGTGGGAGGGTTGCTGGGAGATGGAAGGGTCAGAAGCCACTGAGTGTGATGGGGACCTTATCTGTTTGTTCTGGGAACCCAGCAGTTTCCCCATCCATGGACCCAAGTTAAGAACCCCAGGGCTAAGTCACCACTAAGAGCCTCCGGCTCTGAAACCATTTGATTATAAGATATAGGTTATTTGTCCTCCTGCCCCACACCCAAGTGATTAATTCATTCTACATTGATTGGCTGTGAATTCCAGCTCCTGCTAGGTGAGCATCCTTCATCAAGGTTCTCAACTGCTGAAGCCTCAGTTTCCTCATCTGTAAAATGGGGCTAATGATAGCCCCTACCTTAAAGGATGTTAAGAGGCTTAAAGGAGATAAAGAATGTTAAGCTCCGATCCCAGTGCCTTCCTGCCACATTGAAAGTGCTCAATAAATAAATGCTCATTTGCCTTATTCTTTTACCCTCCCAGGGAGCATTCATTCATTCCCTCCACATTTGCCAAGGTCCAGTGTGACAGATCCAGAGATAGTCATTATGTCCTGAGTGCCTTACCTGTATTATCTCACCTAAGTTAGATACTGTCAGCCCCAGTTCACAGGTGAGGAAACTGAGGTTCAGAGAGTAGTAACCCGTGCAAGGTTACACAGAGCGTGAGTAGTTCCTGCCTTCCAGTAACTTCTGACCTGGGTTGGGGCAGGAGGCAGGGGGCCAGAAGCAGCCAATAACAATGCATTGGGTAAGAGTTGTAGCAGAATTGACAGAAAAAGATCCTGGAAACACCGAAGAAAGATTGAATAATTTCCAGAGGAGGTGACTCCAACTGGATCTTGAAGAATGAGTATGAGATGTACGAGATGGCCAAGCAAGCAAGACATTCCAGGCAGAAAGTAGAGCATCCTCAAAGGCTGGGGGCAGGGGGGCAGCAGGAAGCATGTGGCAGCTTCAGGAGTAGCGTGTGGTCCCCAGAGCTGGACCACTGGGAGGAGGAATAGTGAGATGTGAGCAGGGAAGGCTGCTTGGAGGTGGGTTGCGAAAAGACCTTTAAGGCCAGGCTAAGAAAGGATGCTTTGTTCAACTTGGCCATGTCTCCTAAATTCCACTGAGGGATAGGGGGTTAGTGTGTTTAGCCCAAGTGGGGACACATCAGGACCCTCACCCATATAGGAGCCTTAACCCACAGTTCCTGTAGCTCATGACATGAATGGGTATTGTAATCTGGGGACCGCTGGGGTGATGTGTGATCCCCTCTCTCGCCCATGTGTGCCCAGCTCTCACATACAGAATCGCAACTATTCTCAGGTTGGTTATTGCCATCTCCATTGTAGACAGGGAAACTGAGACCCAGACCCAGAGGAGTAAAGTGACGGGCTCAAGGTCACCCAGCTGGTAGGGGACAGAGCTGGGATAACACAGGACCTCTGATTCCAAGTCTCTGTTCCTTCCACGTATGCCCGTTGCCTTGGCAGACTCTGACCCTGCCGAGAAGGAGATTACAGGCAGGTTATGTGTCCAGAGGGACGAACAAATACAGAGTCACAAAAACCCCTGAACGTCTTGTCCAAACCCCATACATGGGGAATGACTTTCTCAAGGTCACACAGGGTTAAAGAGCTTACAGAAATAAAAAACATTATTCATCCAGAGTCACCTTCTGAGCCTCTGGCTCTTCCGTTTTCCAGCTGTGTGACTTCGGACAAGTGTTTTACCCTCTCTGTGCCTCTGTTTTCTTATCCAAAAAGTGCACCCACTAGAACACCTACTCCATGGTGTTGCAGCGAGGATAAAATGCAGAAATAACCACTGACACTTACCGAGCATTTCCCACACGCCAGGCACTGCTCTAAGCGCTTCACGTGAATTAACTCTTTTAATCCCTCACCAGCCCAGTGAGGTAGCCCTCATTTTATAGGTCAGAAAGTGAGGCACAGAGAGGTTAAGTAACTTGCCAAGATCAAACAGCTAATAAGTGGAGATGCCAAGATTTAATGGGGGCGCTCTGGCCCCCAGAACCTACACCGTCTGCAGCACTCACAGTGCCTGGCACAAAGGAAGCATCGGACTTGTGGCCTGGGAGTATCTGATGTCCCCGCCTGTGCCCTGGGAGAACTTCACTCACCGCCACATTCTACAGCCTGTGGGAGTCCTCAAGCCTCCCCGTGATTTCTGCTAATACTGGGGTGGGGATGGAGGGATAGATCACGTTCCCTTAATCCCCTCTGCTTCCAGCTCCTGCACCTGCATTTGCCTTCTCCACTGGGCCCTGAGCCAACCCAGGAGTGAAATACGTGAGTCCGGCCCCTTCTCTGGGTTCCACAAGGTGTCCACTAATGCCAAGCATTTCGTGAGCTTTGTACACTTTTCTGATGGTTTGGGGTCACAGACAAGGGCCTGGTTGTGGCGTACACAGACTTTAACCATCGCCCTCATTGGTTGCCACCAATTTCCCCCACGAGCTCCGTTTCCTCTCCCTGTGTTACGCAGAGCACAGCCACCCCAGCTCCAGGCTCTAATTGGGCACACCCGACTCTATCACGGAGCTCAGAAAACAAAGAGCCTTCCCTTTCCCGTGTCTGCTCCCCTTTCAAGGCATCTGAGAAAATGAAAAGAAAAAAATTTCCCTTTTATTGTCATCATCCCCATCACTGTCGTCAGCACGGGATAGAAGAGCAGCCAGGGTCATGAGCAAGAATTGATATATAATTGGCCAAGAGTTTTAGAAGCAGGGATATTAATGACAGTGACAATGATGGTAATAAGGATGATGACAGCGCCCATACATGGCGCTTGCTGCGTGCCAGGCACTGTTCTAAGCCCTGTATGTAATTAGTACTAATACAGGTAAAACCCATGGAAGGTGGACTCTTTGTTTACTGTGTTTAGCGCTTTATTTAAGTGGCCTTGTTTAATTTTAAACAGGTACATCATTAGCCCCATTTTATAGATGATTTATAGATGAGGAACCCAGGGCTCCTGGGTTTATAGATGAGGAACCCAGGGCTCACAACTGGGGAGGGACTAGCTGTGGGATACAGAGCGTATAAGGGCTGGGACCATTTCACACGCACCCCACCACAATTCTGAGCGGAACCAGGGCAGCTCGGATTCTGAGTGGAGTTTCTGGGAGAGTGTGGGGAGGGGAGAGAAGCAGGTGGTGAGAAGGGGAGGCACTTGAGACAGATGGCAGAGCTGGGCAGCAAGGTGGAGCCCAAGCCCGGGTCTGCGTCTCTGGCATGTCCCAACATGTGTGTGTCTGCACGTGGATGTGGGCACGCACCGGAGAAGTGGGAAGGCATCGTAGAGCACACAGGTCAAGAACTAACCTCCCACCTCCTGCTTCAGGCGGCTCAGAGAGCTGGCTGCTGTCACGGGGCGGCTAAGCGCTGCATCTGTCAGCCAGCCGTCATGACTGCCCACCCCCGGGTCACGAATCAGCAGCTCCACTTACCTCCTGCCAGCCAGTGCTCTCAGGCCAGCTCTGTCACTGGCCGCTGAGCCTTTGGAAAATGTAACTCTGTCAGCCCTCACTCGGAGGCAAGAGGGTTCACGCTTCAGTGCGTGCACAAGGCGGTACGAGTGCGCCCACATACTCACGCCAGCACATAACACAGGCACGTGTCTACCTTCAGACATGTTGCTAGCTGGGTGCGCGTTGCAGACACACACATGCTTGCAGCCATGCACATAGAGCATACCCCTGCAGGTCTGCAAATGTGGTCACGTGCCCACACTCTATGCACGTACTAGAGGCACTCTCACGTATGCACTGACACTTGTACACAAAATTTGTACACAGCCTTCCATAGCTGTGTTCTCTTACATGCATGTACGTGTGTGTCCACTGTTACCCTTCCAGGAGCCAACACATTTCCTCATTCAGGCATGCACATATACACATTCATGAACATATGTGTATCTCCAGACACTCCCAGTCAGGTACATGGTACACATATGCGTATCCCCTCCCATGTGCCTGGTCACATGAGCTCGTAGCTCCACGTGTGCATTCATAATGCAAATGCACATTTGTATGTGTGCACGGGAAAGCATGCGTACGTAGCCTCGGGAACTGTTGGTTACAATCTAAATTCAACTGCATGATGCCCAGAGATGTGTATGCACGTGTGAGCACATAGGCCTGTGTGTACATAATATATACGATCACTCACAAGCATCTAAACACACAGGCATCCTCCAGTAAGCGCTTGGATCTACACCAAGGACACACACACATACAATGGTATATACCCCCGCACATCTGCCTGCCTACATGTGTGTACCTCCGCTTTCACACCACCTGTCCTCAGGTACCTAACCACCTCTGTTCACATGCGCCTTCAGGCTGGCCCACCATGGCTCACCCACGGCCATGCCACATGTGTCTAACTCCACACCCAATCATGCACACAGACAGACACGTGCCTCCGAAGCCCGTCTCCCACACGTGTGTGGGGTCAGAGCCCTGGCACGTGGGAGCACACACACCCACTCTGGGAAGCAGCATGTCCCAGCCCCAGATTGTCAGGTGTGCTGGGGACAGCAGGAATGGTGCCCACTCACGGAAATCACCACTCACGCAGAGCTGCATCTGCCGCAAACTTCTCATCTGCTGTGCAAACGATGATTAAATGTTATTGTGCAAGAGAAAACGGCAAGGAGGGATTCATTAGCTTTATTGTCAGAAAGGACTCCATGGGCTACAGCTCCCGTCTCCAAGGCTGGCTTAACCCCTTGAGTGCTGGGGACATTGCGCTCCGACGTGGGCTTGTGGAAAATGAAGGCCCCGGAGACAGAGATCCCAGCGTTGGGCCCACATGAGCCAGCTGGGTGCAGAGAGCACTGGGAGGGAATCATGAGTCCAGGCAGCTGCTGCAAACGTGCCCCTCATTTGCTAGGTAGCCTTGGTCTTGTCGTTTCATTTATCAAATAATTTCTCCCCCCTACCACGTCCCAGGAATGCAGAGATGCAGAGGCCATGGTCCCTCCTGGATGCATGAGGCTTCTCAGATAGAGAAGGGCATTCCAGGCTGATGAAACAGCTGAAGCAAAGACTTGAAGGCTGGGAGACATGGTAGTAGTGCCAGGCTTGTCCAGGAGTCACTGGGCCTGGACAGGTCAGTTGGAGGACAGATTGTAAAGGGCCCAGTAAACCCTTCCAAAGAGCTTGGGCCTTTTCCCAAGAACAATGGAGAACCATGAAAGGTGTATGGAAAGGGTTGACAGATATACTACAGGGTGCCCAGTGGTATTTGAATTTCAGATAAATAACAAATAGTTGTCCTAGTATCAGTATGTCCTAAATATTACACGGGCCATACTTATAATAAAACATGTGTCATTGTTTATCTGAAATTCACATTTAACTGGGAATCCTGTCTTTTTATTTGCCAAATCTGTCAACACTGTGTATGGATTTGCATTTTAGAAGGATCGCCCTAGCTTGCTCTGTCCAGGGTAGAGTAGAGGGTGAGAGA